GGAAAGAGAAGTGCTTTTTATGACTAAGCATGGTGTGATGGTGGCAACTACTTGTTGAGGCTGGGAATGTAACTATATGTACCATGACGATAATAGTGGGCTTTAAGCAGCTACAAACCACTCAAGGGAAGAACTACTCCTTAGAACAAAGACCCCCTGAATGATAAAGCAAGAGGAGGAAAGAATTCAGAGTGGTTTTACAAAGAGATCCTGCAGGTTCTCAGAGTCATGGTTAATAGTAGTGTCTGTGCTTCATTGTTACTGTTGACAATGGCTTATATGAGTAAGGCTGGCTTTGCAGTTAACTCTTCCCTATAGAAGCTGATTTCTTACACTACACTTTAGATTTCAAGATTACTTTAATGCAGGTTAACGCTGCATTAAGTCACATGGCTCTTATACTACATTCTGGGAGGCTGAACCCCACCCCTTTTTCAAGAGCCTATTTTTCCTCCACCTTCATTCTACATATACAACACCTGTACCCAGTCATCTAAAGATCTTCCTTTTATAAGAACAGCATGTGTCTATTTCTTCTAACACCATCACAAGTCCCATCTTATTTTCTATAATGCTGGTTCATTGTTCTATTCTATATAAACATCTGGCATCTGATGGAAGTACATAAGCCTTTGCTGGTGGCAATGCAAATGCGTTTTCTTCCCAGTGAGAGGAAAGGCAGCTAAAGGGCTATTATTTATATAAGGAATAAATGAGCTTATTTGACTCCAACACTTCCTCACTTTTGATACCGTTATTGTGTGCTTGACTTACCTTCAGCTCTTTAAGATAAGCATGTAAGCATAATGTAAGAAACGTGCATGGCTGTAGGATCTAGAAGATGGTATACAATGCAACTGGGCATACTGTTTAACTTTGGGTGCTGAGAATCAGGGTTTCCTTAGATCTCATGTGATGTGCTCCTGTATTTTGTATTAGAGGCAAACAGCAAGAACTTCATCCTGTACTGCTCCAAGGCAGCCAAATATTCCCTCCACTTGCAAAGTGATTTGACTTGAGGAGGTCTACCTACACAGTACTTTCCACAGAAGAAAACTGGCAGGTTCACTACATGGAAATACCAGTATGTATCATTCATATTTGGGAAGCCTTTGTCAGCAGTCTATCCATGTTTCACAAACTGTTCTTCCTTCTTTAGTGTGAAAAGAAAATACGACAAAAATTCCACTGCATCATCTGCTTTAGTTCCTAAGGACCTAAGGTGTCTATCTGCACAGGAACACCAGGTGCTGGAGTGTATGTCTGTACTTTTATATGTTGTCAAACATTATGCAGGGAGCTGAGTTCTGAAATCAGTGGCTATGATGTGCTCTGTCAGATTTTAAAGAGTATGGGATGTTTGAACTAGAGCATGGCCATCCCACAAGTCGCCTGTGGGCTCCAAGGGGTTAATGTGCAGCTCTGACCCCCCATACCACAACATCTCTGCAGCTGCAATAGCAGCCATAGCTCCAGGCTCCCCCCTCCTTTCTCCAGCTGTCAATTTCTGCCTTTGTCTATCAGTGCAAGGAGATGAGGGTGAGTCTGTGGCTGCGTCCTGGAGGGGGGTGGGGGCCACATGCTGTGGAGGGGGATAGTGCCCATATCGTGCAGCATTTAAAGGTATGTGCCCACATGGGCATGGATGGAGTGCAGTGGTGGGAGGATGGAAGTATCTGTGTGGCACTGTGCAGTGTGTGGCCTCTGGAGCATGTGGCTCCTGGGAGCTTAGAAGTTGGACAGCCTGTGAACTAGAGAATGGGAGTCGCATGCTAATCCTTGCTGAGTAACTTATTAATATTAGCCCTCAGTCTTGGCATTTAGGCTGTCTTGGTTTCTTCATATATGAAGTTGCAAAATGTTTGTAATATTATTTACCTGATCCATGGGGTATTGTAATGGCTACTTAATATCTGCAAATGACTTTGAGATGCTCAGATGAAAAGTGCTACGAGGATGCAAAGTTGTATTAAACTATTAGAGCCAAATCATGCTTCCAGGTTTACCAGTGTGGCTGCCAGTGACTTTACTGGAGCTCTACACAGGCATTCAAGTGCAGAGTTTTACCCTGAGCTAATATTTTAATTTGCTTCTTTCCAAGTCTGAACAGACCCCACAGCAAAGGATTCCTTTATCTGAGTTCACTGGAAAGATTTAAAAAAGCAAAAACAGCACCTACCTACCAGCTATAAAATCTTTCTCACAGAAGAAAAGTATTGCCTGTCTGAAGGCCATTTCTGGGGTCAAGGCCATCACTCTCTGTAGGTGATGAATGTCGGTGCTTAGCTTGTTCCCAGGTGGCATTAGTCTTTTCAGTGTCTCAGCAAGAACCGCAAAGGCATTGAGTCTCCGTAATGCACATACAAGGGCTGGGCGGGATGTCAGCTTATCAATGCTTCTTTGCCAGGATGTATCTCCCACCTCAAAAGGGGTTACTTCTTTGGCCTGACTTCGAGTGAGACAGGGCAACCACTTGAGGCCCAGAAGCTCAAATCCTGGATCCAACCCATCTGCAAGTCAAGAGAATTGTATTTATTACTAATTGGTAGCTAAGCTCATGTTCGTCTGCTGGGGACCTTATGTCTTAGGGCCTTGTTGCACATTACACTTAGGACATATTAACTGCACTTAAAACATCAGGGTGCCTGTAGACATGCCAAGAGGCTGCTCTGACACACTAATAACAGTGGTAAATACTGCGCTCCAGTGAACTTCCTCGTCTCGTGTATTAGCATCCCTGTGCTTCAAAATGGCAGCAGGGGTGCTTTAACTAAAGCTTGGCAAATGAGCTTTAGTACAATGCCCCTGCCACCATTGTGAAATGTGGGGTTGCTGATACACAAGATGCTGCCGGTGCTTTAATCAGAGTAGCTCTCGGAGCTGTTCTAATTGAAGTGCACCCGCCCCGCCCCCCCAAACACTTGTAAAGCCGCCCTCAGTATCCAATCATTCGAGCAGTAAAACACATGCTAAGTCCATTGTAGCATAGCAAAGTTAGGACTTTTCCAGCAAGGAGCATCTTCAAATCATATTACCTAATACATGTTGAACTAATACCAGGCTGCTCCCTGGAGGTCATACGGAGAGTCCATTGCTGTGCAGGGGGTGAGACTGGCAAACAGTTGTTTATTGCTTCCAACCCCACCACTGCACCAGGGTCTTGAACACACTTGGTGTGTTGCCAGGGCTCGGGCAGACAAACAGCTGTTTGTCACTCCCAGCCTCTGAACCACATTGGAGTTTTGAACCTGTTTGGTGTGTTGCTGGGACTGGGACTGACAAACAGATGTTTGTCTATCCGAGCCTCCACAACATGCTGCAGTAAACTTGAGTGTTCAAGGGGTCTGGCACTTAGGACATGTTTTATTTAGACTGTACTAAGCATGATCATGTGAGTGCTTACAATACTTTCTAATTCGCCGTAATATAGTTACTTTCCAACTTGCTTACTACGATCTAATTAAAATGTGTCCTAAGTGATAAGGCGCTCACATTCACAGAAGTCTCGTAATCTTCTTTTAGTAGACAGCACTTTCCAAACTTGTTTTGACTGCACACCCTCTCCTGTCCAACGCTGAGTTTGATACAGGTTTTGGAAACCTACTGGTCAAAATCTTTGTATGGTCAAAAGAGAAAACTGCCAGCAAGTTCCATTACTGTTAAAGAATGGGCTACCTGGGAACTAAAGTACCCTGTGTACATCAACACGGAGTCAAACAGAATAATGCCACAATCTGATTAGAGAAAGGTGGTAATGTAGAGAAATTGAAAGGGATATGTTGAGAATACAATGATAGCTAAATGCCTGAATACAGCACAGTATATAATTATAGATACTTTAACATCTCTGATAATGCTCCATTTAAGGGCTATAAATTATAGTAATAAAGTGCAATATAACATTGACTTGTCACTAGAATGACTTAGCCCTTATTATGTTTGCAAACTAGTCTTGTTTCCAGTGTAGCAAACTATTTGGGGGTTCAATACATAATTACATATTGCTGGAAGTGACTGTGGGTATTCAGATACCTTTGCTCACTTTGAGTAGTATCTTATTCTAGAAAGATTGCTTCAACAGTACTCTCAAAGTAGGATCATATTTAGTGTGAGCCAGGGTGACAGACCTATGAGATGTCAGGGCTGTCCAAATGGTGGCCCACAGGCTGGCCATATGTAGCTTTAGAGGGGTTCAATTGTGGCCTGCAGGGCTTATTGGTGCAGCTCCAGAACCCAAAGGTTGAATGCTCCCACCACGTGCCTCCACACTCCCAAGACCCCTGCCAAACTCAAGATCTTCAGTTGCTGTTGGTGACTTAAATCAGAAGCAGGGGAAAAGCAGGGATGAGCAGTGGCAGTGTTCACCTGGGTTCTAGAGTCATGACAATTTAAAGGCAGCAATAGCCACGTCAATAAGCTGATACCCTGCCACCAGAGGTGGGTTGTTCAGCCCTGCAGTCCAGATCGGGCCCAGATGGCCAAATGAGTTGGACAGCCCTTATCTATATTACTCTATGCAATGTTCTCCAGTCTACAACATATTTTGTGTTACTAGTGCCATGTAATAATAAATTACAAACATAGTTTTTAGATCTTATATAGCTTTTATGTGTACATCTGCAAACATATAACAAAGTCAGTATTAATAATCTTATTGTGCAGGGAGGGAAACTGAGGCATAAAAAACATGACTTGTCAGTAGTCACACAGGAAGTCATTGTCGGAGTTTGGAGTAGAACTCATGTTTCCACACTCCCCTAAACCATGCTGTAATTGCCAAACCATGCCATCTCCCAAATGTTAGACAAAGGCAAAACTGTCTGGATTACAGCAGAGCCAGATGGAGCCTTAGCACATGCTTGAAGTGATTCAAAACCTACTGACACAATCTGGGCCAGAATACTCATTGAAATGTTGCCTGGGATTGGACCATCACTACTAACACTCACAGACTATTTGAGTTAAATCCTATTTCATGTGAGGTACCTAAATGACACATTCCACGTCACTTTAATTGCCACTCTTTGGCACTTACCAGTTAATGAATCTATTTAATCACAGAATGACCCTACTGGAAGCTATGAGGCCATCCAAAATTTTAGCTCCAAATCCTAATTGTTAGGGCACTTGCATAGGAAGCTGAAGACCAAGGATGCCTGTAGACATGCTGGGAGGCTGCTCTGACGTGCTGTAATTACAGCATGTGAGAGCAGACTTGATTAACTGAGTCTGCTAGAACGTGGCAATTACTGCACTGCAGTCAGCCGCCTCTTGTGTATCAGTGTCCCCGTGCTTCAAAATGGCGACGGGTGTTTTAACTAAAACTTGGTAAATGAGCTTCAGTTCAAGTGCCCTCACAGCCATTTTGAAGTGCAGGCATGATGATACATGAGACATTGTGGCGCTTTAATTAGAGCGGCACTCACAGCAGCTCTAATTACATGTTTCCCTCACTTTATGCTGTACAACATTTCCTGGAAAATGGCACATAATTTGAATTCACATAAAGGGAACCCACTTTACAATGTAACAAGTAGGGATATGGTCCAAGACCTTGACTGTACTGACCCCCAGCCCATTGCTACCACTTTTACAAGACAATTTTGGTACTCACCAGCAGCAGACAGTACACACAACCACAGGGCACTATCATAATGGAGATGGCAACTACAGAAACACATGCTGCAGACAACGAATGAGGAGCACAGGAGACTATATTTTGGTGTGCGTCACTCCCACAATACACTGCACAAAGCAGCTGACTGCAGACTTCTACCATACCAATTGCATAAGAGTGAATTTACCTCGCATATAATGAATTTTTGGTATAAAAAGGGTTATCGCATAAGAGCAAATTCGCACATACAGAACCCACATAAAGCGAGGGAAACCTGTAAAGCACCTCCCCCCCCCGCCCTTCCCCCAGAGCACATGTAAAAGTGCCCTGAGGTTCTAGGTTTGTTGGTTGTAGCCATGTTGGTCTAAGGACATAGGCAGACAGGGTTCTTTGGGTAGATGTGATATCTTTTATTAGACAAGCTAAATAGCTGGAAAAATTGTTCTTTGCAAGCTTTCAGGCACAAACACCCTTCTTCAGGCATAGAGGGATTTTGGTGGTGTTTTCAGACTCTCCCTATGCCTGAAGAAGGTGTTTGTGCATGACAACTTGCAAAGAACAATTTTTCCAACTATTTAGTTGGTCTAATAAAAGATATCACATCTTCCCAAAGAACCTTGTCCCCCAAGGTTTTAGACACCCCTCACCCAGAGAGGGTTTAACCTGCAGCTTCTATTTCCCTGCCAAGTGTGCTAATCACCATGACACAGGGTAGGCATTACCTAGAACTGTCTCCAGCAGTCCTCATCTTAAAGTAGACCACTGGCAGCCAACCGAGGGTGATATGTAGGGCCAGGAGGAAGAGAGTAAACCACAGGGTTTGTGCTCTCACAGAGGTGAGAGCAAACCACAACGGGCAAAAACTTTCTCACTACTCTCTATCCAACTAATATTAAAGGCAGGTTTAGGGGGAGGGCCCTAGGATGTGGGCCTCCCACTCCCCTGGCAAGTGCCCTAACTGCTAGGCTATTAGGTTAAAGCACAGGAGGATCCTCCTAATCCTTTTCCTTCACATCATGAGCTTTTCCCTGGCTACAGTTTTGAGACCTAAGTGACCTTGTGTGGGTACATAGCCATATACCTGACCAGACAGATCACAGCCCTACTGAGTATGCTTAGCAGGTACATGCAGACTTGTGTGCCCAGACCTGAGAGACAAAGCATATGCAAATGCCCAAAACTACAGTTATACAATTGTGTTACGTACTATTTAGGTGCATGACATGAAAAAGGATTTAGCCCTTCATCTCTTGAGGCAGGGAAAATAAATGTAACTAAGTCCTGAAAGAGCCTATGGAGCTATGGGTAGCTAGGCAAGTGGTTCTCAGCCGTTTTGGATCTGAGGCTCCCCTTACTGGATTCAAGACAGCTCTCCAAAACTTTTGTTAATTGAGTGGCACCCAACTTCAAGAACAAATTTTTAGATTGCAATAGTTGCCTCCTTGCAGAAGAACTGGGCAGTGGGGGTGAGAGAACAGCCAGGGAGGGACAATCCTGAGCCTGCACTTATCTCCTCACCTCCTTAATTCCTCACATCTCAGGGCAGCCTTCAAAGGATCTGGTGGCACCCCAGGCTTCCTTGGCACCTTGACTGATCATCATCAAGCTAGGCAGAACCTAGGCAACCTCTACAGCCCATCCCTAAGAAATGGAATCACCTGATTTTTCAGGTGACTTCTTGTTGCAAGGGCAAAGGATTTGGCGAAGAAGGTCTCCGGCATTCTTTATGGCTTCATTTCCACTCAGTGTCAGGATGACAACTTGTTCCATCTCAGGATCAGAGGCATAGGTTTGACTGCATAAAACATTCAGAGGAATGCTACATGGGTCTGGCACTGCACTGAGATTGCCTCCTGCCCAGGGAGAGAAGCAAAATAAATCTAGTTATCCAAGGAAAATTAATCTCCTCTTTCTTTTAATGGGAGAGACTGAGTCATCTTTGATAGGGCAACAGAACGCAGATTCTGAGTAACATCCTTACAAATACAAAAGTAGCCAAGTGACTGGTGACTGTCTCAGCTTGGTCCCTACCAAAATCCTGCTTGAAAAAGTAAGCTAAGCCACTGGCATAATCCTAGATTATGATATCTTTACTCACCCTTGGGTAACAGGAAGAGTGATTAAAATCAAAGTGATTTAAATTCCAGCAAGGAAGACATCTTGATTTAAATATCTCATTTTGATTTTGTTTTACTTTTGTTTTTTTAGATACTTAGACTTATAACTGAATACAGTTTTTACATTAAATTAACATGGAAGATATGTTATGTGCAAATTTATACAAATATATATAATTTAACATACATTTGTTCACTTTCTTAATGTTTATATCCTATGAAATTAGAAAATGGTGAATAACTTTATTTACTAGATGTTTTGGTTTTTTACCTGTAATTTGTGTCAATTTGCTTTTAGAAAGAAATTGAAATTTGACTGAAAGCACAGATTGTAATCATAGCATGTTTTGCATTTCAAACTAATTTATAACACAAAGGAAATATTAGCTGTACCTAATTAAGTGAATTGATTATTTCTGGTTACCATGTCCACCAAGATTTTAGAGCTAGTAGATATTAGCCTCTCACTCTAGTAATTATATAGACATTTGGAAAAAGGAAACACATTTTCTCAGTTTTTTTATGGACTAATCAGTTTCTCAACTCTGAATGAGGCAATTACTAAACTGATTCAAACTAAATAAACTGAAAAAAGACACTTTTATCTCTGCACCAGTAGAAAGGGCAGTAGCTGCCCAACAGGGGTGTGCGAAGCAGGCCCTATTCAATTCAGATTTGGATTTGGCCTGAATCAGGGACAGTGATGTGATTTGTTGATTTGAATCACAGTCCCTGAATCAATTCGGCCGAATCTGAATCTGAAGATTCGATGCCGATTTGGAGAATCAGCGATTCGGACATAGACACAACTTTAAAAGTTTCTTCTACATACCTTGAGGTAGCAGGCATGACTTGTGATCACTGCAATGCTGGGGTGCGTGGAGCATCCCACAGGAGTGCAGGGGGGCCCTCCACGTGCTTGGCAGTGAATCTGGAAGTGGACCAGAAGTAGTTCCGGTCCACTTCTGGGTCTGCTGCTGAACATGCTGGGGGCCCCCCCCATGATTCTGTGGGACACTCCATGCACCCCAGCATCGCAGCACTCATGAGCCCCTGCTACCTAGAGGTATGAAGAAAAAACATTTAAAGCTGTCTCTATGCCTGAATCTCCGAATCTCTCTGAATCAATTCGGAGGGTTTCAATTTGATTCGGAGAGATTAAAGGGTCCTCTGATTCGATTCAGATTTGGAGATTCAGCCACCAAATTGGGCCGAATCTCCACTGAATCGAATCAGGGACTGAAGCTTTGCACAGCCCTACTGCCCAAAGCTTGTTTATCACTTCAACTAATTTAACTTCCAGGTGCTTAACCAGTGACATATTTCACCTTAGGGATTCGTATATTTTTAAAATTTTGACAGTGTGTACTGATTGAATATTTGCGTATAATATTAATTATTTGAATATATTATAATATACTTAGGGCTCACTATATATCAGGGTAGCCAATGTTTTTGGTCGAAGTGCTGAAAAAACCACAATGTCTACCTTGTAAGGTGCCAGAGTGCCGGCATCACAGAAAAACAAAACCAGGGTGGGAGGGGATTGGGAAGAGGGGGTAAGAGGGGGATACATGGCAGGGTGCACTGCATATTAATATAGTTAATAATCATAAATGGGGGGGGTTACAGGGTTTTCTTTAAATTCTAAACCTGGTCACAATAAATAAAACTTTATATACTACCTTTGTTCTTGTGTATTCTTTTTTGTTAAGCATGTTTTGATGAGAGAGAGAAAAAAGGAGAGAAGAGATCAAAAGAGAGGTAAAGAAAGAAAAGGAAAATAAAGAGACGAGAAAGAAGAAAAGAAAAAAGAGAATAGATAAAAAAGGAGAGAAAAAGAGAATATAAAAAAGGAGAGAGAAAGAGGGAGAGAAAGAAAAAAGAGAAAGAAAACAAGAAAAAGAAAAAGGAGAAAGAGGGGAGAGAGAAAGAGAAGAGAGAAAAACGGAGATAATAGAGAAAGTGAGAAAGGAAGGAAAGAAAGAAAAAAAAGGAGAGAGAAAAAAGAAAGAAAAAAGAAAAAGAGGGAAAGAAAAGGGGAAAGGGAGAAAAAGAGAAGAGAAAAACAGACAAAAAGGGGAGAGAGAAAAAAGAAGAAGAGAGAAAAGAGAAAAAAGAGAGAGGAGAGAAAAAAGGAGAGAAAAGAGAAAAAGAGAACAGAAGAAAAAGAAAAGAAAAGAAAAAACAAAGAAAGAAAAAGAGGAGAGAGAGAAAGAAGGGAGAAAAAAGGAAAAAGAGAAAAACGGTGTGTCCCTTTGCCGCCCATGTCTTCCACTGCTACTGGCTGTGGCCCGGGCCTGCTGGTCCAAGGCAGTGTCTGGCAGAAGGAGGCAGTGACACCCCAGCAGCAGCCTCAGGCCTTGCCAATGGTCCTGGAGCAGGGGGAGCCTGGACCCAGGGCTACGAAGGAGGGCCTGGCCTGGGCTCAGGGCAGGGTCCAGGTGGTGAGGGGAGAAGCAGGCGTGGGGGGAATGTGCCACGGGCAGGCTAGCCCAGCTGGGCCCTTGGCAAGGCAGCAGCTGGAGGAGAGCAGGGGCTGGGGGGAACCCCAGGGTTCTGCAGACTCAAGTTGTGGCAGGCAGGTGGGGGCACCCAGTGGCACCTGAGGTGGGGCCCAGCCTGGCCCATACAGCTCTGCAGGGATGGGCTACAGCCATCCTGCCTGCAAGGGGATGCCAGCTGGCTGGGTCAGGACACCAGGCTCAGGGCGCTTCTGCCTCTGGACCCGGCCTCCCTGTGCACCAGGTACAGCATGAGTGGGGCAGAGTTGCCCCTGGTGCAAAGGTCTGGCTATGGGGCCTGGCGTGGGCAGTGCTCAGGGCCGAGCCAGCTGGGAGCATTCAGTACAGTGGCCCTCCATGGCACCTGCCCAGGCCACAGCCTTACCCACCCACAGCTCCCCTCCAGGGGCTGAGCTGGGCTGGAGGGTGCAGCCCGGGGACAGGGAGTGGAATCAGCAGAACGCAGACTGCATTGCTGCCTTTGTTCTCCTGCCCCTGCCCCCAGTGCCTGCTGTGGCACTGGGACCTTTGGCTGCTCCAGAAAACCCAGAGCAGCAACTTAAGAAAAATGTTTTTGTTTTTGTTTTTTAAACGATTTCCTCGCACACCTACTGGCATGGCAGGGAAAATGTCTCTATGTGCCACTATTTGGCATGCATGCCACGGGGTTGCCTATCCCTGCTATATGTTCATAATTTCATATTTCATTTTAAATGAGTTTATTTTTCAAAATGAATATGTATTTAATTTTTTAAAATACTCATTTTTTATTTTTTAAAAAGCTTTGATTTTGTGAGCAACACTTTACCCCACGACTTGTTCCACTAGACTCATCCTGCAGCACAAGTAGAGGACACCAGTGTCCAGGGCTAAACAGGTTACAATTGTCAATGAACCACAGCCTGGGATTTTTACTCAGGAAAATTCCCTCAAGATCTGACCTTTGGATCTGATTCTGTATAAAAGGCAAAATCTTAAATCTTCTATTGCTCCAGCATACCCAGTGCCTGCAATAAGCTGTCAGTGTAGGGAGCCGCGTGAATACACAATGCAGGCTCCAGTCTAGCATCAGGAGGCAGGTTGCTTTGCACCTCTGCAAGAAGACCTTTTTCTGCCAGTTCATTCATGAGTCCTAGGAACAGAACAAAAGTACACACAAGAAATATAATGCAAAGCTGTTTACAGTGCATTCTGATATGAGAACAGTTTAATCCTACCATGTATTTTTGGGCCATATTTCCAGACTCTTGTTACAGCACAGTAATATGGGTCATAGTGAGTTCACCCAAGAGATATACAAAATTCATTGCCATAATCAATTTCACCAGGATGGCAAGCCACAACCATTTATAGCAGAATTAAGTAGCTGTTGAAAGTCAGACTTAGCCATTACTTTTCTTAGAAAGACCTTTGCTTTGAGGTCAATATTCTAACTGTCTCAATCAACACCTAATCCATGCTATAAAAGAAATATCTTCCGGAGTAAGTGATTGAGCCTCTGTGCTCTGTTTCAGCCCTGTTTGCATTTGGGGTGGCAGTTTATTCCTTTCTGGTCATCTGTTTTTCAACTGTCTACGTGACATTTTTTACATTTACATGCAACTAGAAATTCTATTCCTGGGTGAGTAGCCCTGCACATGTACAGTGAGCCTGAGCAATGGGCTACACACTGGCCATGTACATGCCTAGCTATGTAGTTGGCCAAAACGCATGACTAGTATATGTGAGGGGGACCATTTTGTTTTCTGTCTGCAGCAGAGGTACTAACCTAGGAAGTCAAAAGACCACGTTGTAGCCACTGCCCCCAACCCAAAGGAGGTTTCAACCTGGGTTTCACACTTCCCAGAACACTACTGTAACCACAGCACCACTAGTCAGTTAGCAGTTTCTACACTGGAGAGCTCAGCAAAATCTTATTCAGCCATAGACTATACAGGCAGGCAGTGCTGGCGGGAGTAGCCGGAGGAGCCCCAGCTTGAGCCAGCAGCCCCGGGAGAAGCTGCAGCTCATCCGACTGCTCCCTGCTGGGGCAAGGCAGGTAGTGCTGGCAGCCCCAAGAGAAGCTGCAGGGGCTGAGGGGAATGATCGGGAGCTAAGGGAATGATTGGGGGCTGGGGGAATGAACAGGGGCTTCCCCCCAGCTCCCAGTTCAATCCCCCAGCTCCCTGATCATTCCCCCCAGCTCTCATGGCTTCTCATCTAGCTGCGCCCCTAGCTGCTCCTGCTGGCACTGCCTAGAGCCTGCCCGTACAGTCTATGACTGAATCTCTGAATCTCTCCAAATCTCTGTGAATCGATTCAGAGGCCTCTGATTCAATTCAGAGAGATTAATGGGTCTTCCGATTCGATTTGGATTTGAAGATTCAGCTGCCGAATTGGGCTGAATCTCCTCCGAATCGAATCGGCTATGGAAGCTTTGCACAGCTCTAATAGATATAGTAAAATAAGCAGATGGAAGAAGATATAGTAAAGACATAGAAGATAGAATTTTATTAGTAGAAGTTAAGAGTTATGAGTCCAAAAAGATGACAAAATCAGTAGGGAAATACAGATCACCTGACCGAGGGACTAACATAAGAGGGATGGGGGTGAGGAGGAGAAAGCAACTAGGTTACAAAAAATACAATATTATTCCCCCCCCCCTACACACACATACACACACACATGTTCACACACACACACACACTTTTCAGAACAGCAAACATTAAGAAGCATGCTGGAAAGGCAGGTGCCAGGTATTCTGGCAGGGGAGAGAGAGGGGGCAGAGGGAGAGCTGTAAGTCTGCCACCCCCACAACTTAGACACACCCTCTTCCCTAGCAGGCATGAGGCTTCTGCTGCTAATGACACCAAGGAGGTGGAAACAGTGTCTGCACCTGCTCCACCTCCACTAACACCAGCAGTAATAATAACCCCCAGCACCACCAGCATGACAAACACCAGCATGACAGTCTTCTCCACTCCAATTTCGGTTCCCAGCATGAGCCTCCCAGTGCCAGAGGAGGAGCTGCATCTGGAACCAGGGGAGCTCAGTGCCATAGCCAGGGAAATTCTGGGGAAGGAGGGGGAATCGGAGTTCCTGCTCCACACCCGTCAACGTTCCCCTAGAACCAGGTCTCCTTCTCTGGAAGGCACTGCAGAGGAGGTTGTGGGGGCAGGTGGCTCAGTTTCCCCTGTTGTTGTGCCTCTGTCTGTTGAGGAGGGGGATAAAGCAGGATCCCCATCTGCACCCCAGAAGTGAGGGAGTAGTGTAGTGTGGGATCATTTTGAGGTGGCAGATGATCCCAAGTATGCTACCTGCCTGCACTGCCGATGCAGGACCAGCCAGAGCAAGGACAAGAAACACGTCAGCACCATGGGGATGCTGATGCATATCAGGAGGCACCACCCCTTTGCCTTTGCTCCTCTTCATCCTGGCACCAGTGGGAGCATGCCCAAAGGGAAGTCCCCCTCTCGCTCCAAAGCCCTTGTCCCCCAGAAGCAGAAGCAGGCCACCCTGGAGTGGTGGGGAAAGGCAGAGAGAAAGGGAGGGTGCGTTCCCAAGGCGAGCAAGGTTACCCAGAGCACTGGGGAGATGCTTGCTCTGGATGGCCAGCCCTTCTCCTTAGTTGAGTGGCCAGGGTTCAAGCAGCTCATGGCCCCATCATACCACATGCCCTCACGTACCACCTTCAGCACGACAGTGGTACTCTCCCTGTATGAGGCATGCAGGGAGTACTTGAGGGAGGAGCTGCACAAGGCAGGTCCACAGGTGGCCTTATACTTCACCTTGGACATCTGGAACAGCCGGGGTAGCTCACTGGGCAGGGTGAGCTCACCCGCGGGTTCATGGTCACTGACAATGGGGCCAATATGGTCAAGGTGGTTCATGATGCCAACTTTGTTGGCATTTGCTGTTTGGCACACAAGTTCCACCTCATAGTTGGGGATGCCTTGGAGAGGGACAGGGTTCCCGGTGATGACCATCACTACCATGACCAGCCAGCTCATTTCAAAATGCAGGAAGGTGGCGGGCTACTTCCACTGGAGCATCAAGGGGGGCAAGATGCTCTGGGACAAACAGGAAGAGCTGAGCATCCCACAGCACAAAATCATGCAGGATGTGGAGACTCAGTGGAATGCCACATACCTGATATTCAAAAGGCTGGTCAAGCAACAGAAGGCCGCACGCAAACAGAGCATGCTCTGCAAGGGCGTGCCGGCGTTTGCGCAGGCGTTCGCGCAGGCAGAAGCAGGCAGGGCAGCAAGGGAGTCTTCCTCAGGAGGGAGGAGACTCCATCAACAAGGAGAGAGGTAAGGACTATCTGCGAGCCATGGAGAGGACTCGCAGTGCTGTCAGGGGCCCTGCCCCTGTGGTGCCGCCCTTCTGGGGCTCCTCTGAGGCTGACCAGGACGGAGCCGTTGGGGGGCCTGGCGACCACCTGCCCCCCAAGCTGTGGGGGTGGCTGGGTGGGATCCCCAGGGGTGGGACTTAGGTCTGGTGACTCCCCCGCCTGCCCCTCTTGTGAGCGTCTTCAGGCTGTGGAGGGGCAGGTGGCAGAGCTCCAGGCCAAGGTGAGCATGCTGCAGGGGATCTGGGCGGCGGAGGATGAAATTGATCTGTATTTCTGTTCTCTGCAGGGACAGGAATCCACCGGAGAGACCCTGCATGCACAGCACCCAACTAATCGGTGGCAGCAGGTTCCTGTCAAGGCCAGGGCAGTGCATACAACTGCTGTGCCTGCTCCCCAGACACCCCTCAGGAACAGGTATGCGGGCCTGGCCCCGCTGGAGGAGGAGGCAGAAGATCAGGTCCCCAGAGAAATTGAAGCTGCCCGACCTACATCACCGGCTCAGAAAAGGCACATCCCGAGAAGGAGACGCAAAGTTCTGGTCATCAGGGACTCCATCCTGAGGGGAACCGATAGTCCAATCTGTTGCTCTGAGCCCTGGTCACGGCAGGTCTGCTGCATGCCTGGAGCGAGGATTCGCAACGTCACAGAGACCATCCCTAAATTCATCAAGCCCTCTGACTACTACCCACTGGTTGTGGTCCATGTGGGTACAAATGATGCATCCAAGGGCAAACCGGATAACATCATGGAGTACTATAAGGTCTTGGGAAACCAAGTGAAAAAGATGGGAGCCCAGGTGGTATTTTCCTCCATTCTCCCAGTAAGTGGATGGGGTAGGCGTCATGAGGCCTGCATTGACGTGGTTAACCGGCGGCTTTGGAGCTGGTGGCACAAGGCAGGGTTTGGTTTTTTGACAACAACCCATGTTTTTATAAGGAGGACATGCTGGGGTGGGATGGGCTTCACCTCTCCCCTAAGGGCAGATGTATCTTTTCCTCTTGGTTGTCTGATCTCATATGGCGGGCTTTAAACTAGCTTCGCCGAGGGAAGGGGCCGTTTCAAGTGGAGAGGATGCTTCACCAGCATGCAGGGTGACAAGAGGAAGGGCAGCCCAGGTAAGCATTAACCTCCATTGAGCAGGGGGCCACAACTGTCCTGGGATTGGGAGGGAGGCACATGCACCCTAAGGAGGCCTCAGGTGCCTCTACACTAATGCTCGTAGTGTGGGGGGTAAGCAGGAGGAACTAAGTCCTCCTGATTGTGAGTAAGAACCCAGAATTAGTAGGGCTCACAGAAACCTGGTGGGACCCTACCTACAACTGGGCGGTGGGCAATCGGGTATACACCCTATATAGAAGAGACAGGGCAGAGAGGAAAAGTTGGGGGGTTGCGCTCTATGTCAAAGAGCACCTCACATCATCAAGGATCAGCTTTGGGTTAGAGAAGGGTCAGGCAGAGACACTATGGGACAAACTACAAGGGGGGCATGGCGAAAGGGACCTTACGGTGGGTGTCTACTATAGACCACCCAACCACGGGGAAGAGCTAGACCAGAACTTCTCCAGTCAGCTTATGGAGGTGGTTAGGTCAAGGGATGTTATTGTCATGGGTGACCTAAACTACTCAGACATTTGCTGGGAGGAGCAGACAGCCAGGTCTGACCCCTCGCGTAGGTTCCTGGCTGTAACACAGGACCTTCACCTTATCCAGGAAGTACACAGCCCCACTAGGGGTAACACCTTGCTGGACCTGGTCCTGGCCATGGGGGATGACCTGGTGAGGGGACTGCAG